AGGGCCGGTAAGGAGGCCGACTGTGCCGGATGGCCGGCAAAAACAGGATTTGTCCCAGTATGCTAGTACACCACTGCTAGCTAGCCAACTGTAGGATGTGGTAAGTTAGTGTTGTAACTGGCAATTAAGCAGCAGAACCACTGATGCTATGTGGTCTCCTATTTACATCGTGTCAGGGGAGGGGTCATGCTATTGATGGCTCCAGTGCATCATCGAGCCATGATTTCAGGCTTACCCAAAAAAATCCTAAACACAAAAATGGTGGAAAATGGTCTAACTCCACACTTCAGTACTATATAGTTCACAGTCTTTTTTTTAATGTTTTCAACATGTTCAACGTTTTTGGAAACTAAACTCAGATTTGACTTTACCCAGACATTAAATTAAATTAGCTTAATTTGAGGACTAATGAATGCAGAAACTAAAATATGGAATTACGTATTTTTATTGAATGGCAGAAATAAAGAAATGTGGAGGAGAGAGAGAGAGATCTGCATCTTCCTTTTCTCTTCCTCTGGTATTTTATAGCCAGAGAGGTCAAACTGAAGAGGAGGATGGCAGTTTTTCCCAGAATATTCCAATACCAAATCACAGATGTTGGTTGCAAAAAATCTCTCAGATGCAAAGCTGCAGAAACATACACAGAGAGGAAATGAGGCAGAGTTTGAGGGAGTCAAAGTGGTATTAAAAGAGATGCATGTAACAGACAGGAAATTAAATATAACACTGTAAAGTGATATCAGAAGCCACATCAGGTAGGTCTGATCAATCCAGTCTAGTCTCGTCAATTTCTTCTGAGTCCTTATTGAAAGCTCACTGTCAGCTTTGCCCCAAAACAATCCCGTCAAAAACTTGGCATCCCTCTTCATTGATGTCTTAACTTAATATCTTAGTATCCTCTCTTAAATCTCTTCTTAAAATTATTTGTTAAGTTAAATGTTTCTTGCTCCAAGCATGGGACAGGCTCCAGATCCTGAACAGGAAGCCTAATAGAAAATTGTTAAATGGACGCATCAATATTTGTCTGTGTTTGAGATATATAATATGAGATAAGATATAATATTCTGCCATAGCTTACAGTTCAGAGAAGCCATATCCCTTCTGAAACACTGCACCACATGGCAGTGAGCTCTTACCTGCTGTCACACTGTGGGGTACTGGATGTGGTCAGGGTGGATGTTGTCAGGTTATCTGCAGAGGGGATGTTTAATCACAAAGAGGATCATTACAGCAAGAAATGCAATCAAACCAACACCTAAACACTCACACACAAAGAGTTCAATATTAATAAATTAATATGTAATTATAAAACAGTTTTACAAAAATATTGTGTGAAATAGTCAAATGACAATAAATTGTGACGAAATTGATAAAACTCAACTCATGAACGACTTTAGACCGGTCGCCCTGACCTCTGTGGTAATGAGGTCTTTTGAGCACCATGTTCTATCCCACCTCAAAACCCTCACGACTGACTCCTGTAGTGTGGGTGTGTCGTGTAGCCTGCCAGACTGCAGACCCTGGATCCGCTGCAGTTTACCTGCAGAGCCAACAGGCCCGTAGACACACAGTCAACATGGCCCGTCACTTCATCCTGCAGCAGCTGCACTCAGCAGGAAATTGGATCCTGTTTGTGGACTTCAGCTCTGCCTTCAACAATCTCGACTCTGATGCATGCCAAGCTCTCAAGCTGCACGTGTCTCAGAGACTTCCTGTCCGACAGGAAGCAGCAGGTAAACCTGGGGAAACACACTTTTGACTCTTAGCATCAGCACTGGTTTCTCTCAAGGCTGAGTCCTCTACCCTCTGCTCTTCTCCCTAGACACAGCTGCACTTCCAGTCACCAGTCAATTAAGTTCACAGACAACACAATCTTCATTCGACTAATCTTTGGTGGGGATGAGTGCGCAACACTTTTATTAAAAGGGACATAATGAAATAAAATGTGACATTATGAAAAGTTTTACATGATGTCACGATCAGGCTTTGCCCTGTGTGTTCTGTGTCTTTGTTTCTTTCTGTAGCTCCTCACTCACCTAATCAGTTCATTCAGTGCACCTGCCAGTCACACTCACCTCATCAGCTCATTACTCTCACCTGCTCACTCTGCCTCCTTCACTATTTAAACCCCTGCCGCGCACACACACCCACTGCCAGATCATTGTTTGTTTTCCTCCCTACCCGCCCGTTTTGCTCGTCCTGTTCCCGGTTTTCCAGTCTGCCTGTTCTGCCTTTTCCTGCCGGATTTCCCCCCTCGTCTTTTGTCTTGTCCCTGGATTCCCTGTTTGTTTTTGGTTATCATTAAAACCTTTTTCACTACACCTGACTGTCTGCTTTTGAGTCCTCATCATGCCCCGTGACACATGATGTAAAAGTGTCAAGGGGAAAGTAACTTTAAACGTGTTATTTTGAAAAACAAATGTAAATACAACAGTTCATAATAATGACTTCAATAATATCACAAATTACTCATTTATATCTTTTACACAATGTGTTAATATGATTATGTTTTCATGTCTTTACCAAACATCACATGCAGTAAATGGTAGGCTTCTGTTACTATGTATTAAAATATGAATTCGTTTAAATTATATTGTATCTGTGAATTATACAATCCTGATAATTGAATAGTGAATTTTTAATTTACATACATTCACTGTTTATTCATTTTATTGTGTTTGTACGGTAAATATTAAGGTGACCACCAATAACAAACACATATAGAAACAACTAACAATGATTTTTATTAGTATGGCTGTTTCATCATTTTATGAATCACCAAATCAAAAACAAAATAGACACAATAATAAGTAATACTACCAATGATGATAACACTGTGTTTTCATTTACAGTGACTAAAAAGCTCTCCTTCAGCCTGACTCCAGTACAGCAAACCCATCACCAGAAACAACACGTCATCCGATGTGTGTGTGTCTGTCACCTGCCTGACTGAGGACGTCTCTGGTCCCACTGACATGTACCTATAAGTACTGACAGAAGCTGACACACATTGAAGGTAATGGTAAAAAATCCGCACATGAGCAGTGTTGAAAAGTAGATAGTAGAAAGTACACCAAAACAAACAATAACGCTGATGTTAGAACAATAATAGGACATTTTTTGTTATCTACCCAATCAAAACAGACAAATGACACTTTGTAACAGAACTAGGCCCAACAACTTAATAGCAATGCATATCCATCCATCCATCCATCCATTTTCCTCCGCTTATCCAGGGTCGGGTCGCAGTGGCAACAGGCCAAGCAGGCTGACCCAGACTTCCCTCTCACCGGCAACATGTTCCAGCTCATTCTGGGGGATCCCGAGGCGTTCCCAGGCCAGCTGGGAGATGTAATCCCTCCAGCGTGTTCTGGAGGGATTGCAATGCATATCATGTAGTTTATCATAGCTTTATTGTACTTTGTACTACCTCACATGTGCAATAATGTGTATCCAACCACTCAATCTGATACTATTGTATTTTTAGCTTTTGTTGTTTTTTTGCAGTTTATTTATTTATCATATCTTTACTGTTTGACTATTTAATGTACTTGTTTCTTTGTTTCGTTTTCTACTGATGTCTCTTGTTGCACTATCCACTATGCAGCTGTAATCCTGCAAATGTCCCCGCTGTGGGACTAATAAAGGATTATCTTATTTTATCTTATGGTGTTTTTAATGTCCATGGTAAACCCCCCATCATACCACTCCTATAACATATAACATTCCTAGGAGTTATCATGTTGATTTTATCGTCTCTCATGACAGTTTAGTCAAAGATTTACATCAATAACAATAAAGTAGCAAATGATGAGTTCAAAATGAGTCAAATAAGCTACATGACACCACCTAGCCTTCAATAATGTAGCTCATTTGGCTTCTGACTTACATAGCGCAGAAAATATGCAGTCCATAAACTGACACATTTAAAAAAAATGCTCTGTATGAAACACATTTGAAATCAAACATTAAACTATAACGTTAAAGTAGTGACCTTGAGTCTAAATTGTGTTTGAGGGTGGTCACAACATGTCTGGATTAACCTTTTAGGGGGCCACCATGCAATCATTCTTGGTGCTGGACCCCTATAGTCCATCCTTGCCCTTATTATTTATTTTTATTTAAAGTCTCATCATATGCCGATCCAACCAGTAGTCCTAAACTGGCACATTGACGATATTGAAAGAATATGCACCTCGTAAGCACAGTAAAAATGTTTGTCTTAAAACTATTGTAGATTGTGACACAGTGCCCCTCTATTAGGTAACAAGATTAGGATAATGCAGGACATGCTTTAGTTGATATTGGTGCAAAATCCTAAAAAAGATGCAGTTAATCAAAATACAAACCACCAGTTGACACACTGCGATCTAGGGCTTTATGGGCACCTGGGGGCCTTGGGGCAGTTGCCCCCTTTGCCCGGTTACTAATCCAGCCTTGGTTCACATCGATGTTAGGTGGCCAAGTCTTTACCTCATGCCACTGCAAAAGAGCATATGATTTACTTGCTTAAGACCAAACTGAAGGCAAAACAAAACAAAAAACAAGTAAGAAGTGAAGGCTGCAGTAGCCTATAGGCCTGCAGAGCACAAGGAATTTCAATCTGCTTGATGTTTTGGGTAACAGACTTCAACAAGTCTAAAAGATTAGGAACCAAATATTATTATTATTATTATTAGCATAATTCCTCTTATTGTGATCTTTATTATTGTTATTATTATTATTATATTATATTATGAAATGTAAATAATGTACTGCTGTCCAGATTGCATACAATAATTTAAAAAAAAATAACTCTCACACACAGAAAGTATGAAAAAGTAAGAGCTGGTGAAAGTAAAAACAACTCTTCTCCACAAATCAAAGTGTGCGTGACCCCCTCTCACGTACAATCACACAGACGCACATCCGCGCACACAGATTTTCTGTCGATATTCTGCAAAGCAGTTTACGCTCGCCCCTGCAGTTTTCCGTGCCGTGCACATCCTCATCTACGCAAATTCCGCTATAGTCACTGGCGAGGCTTTTCAGCTGGTTAGCCAAACATCCACAGAAAATGATATGAGCAGGAAAACGAGACGAAGAAAATAAGAACAGTTTATTCCAAGCCAGACGAATATCGACAGAAATATAATCTCTTTAGGTACGTAATCTCTTTTTTCAACTTTGCACAAATGTATTTGTTGAATTAGCTTACGTTTATGAATGACTATATGTATGGGCAGAAATTCAGCGTTAGCCAACATTGGCTAGTTAGCGGGTTGGCTAACATGTTAGCCAACGTTTGTGTCTATTATCGGACTACGTCTCGTTACGACCACAGAGGCTAGTGAACGCTAGCTGGGTAGCGAGTTGTTGATATGGTTCACAAGCTACCGCGTACACTGCTGCTCGTTACTATCGTCGTTGTTGTATTCTCCGACATTACTTCGCTTCATTTGCTATTGAATTCTCTCCATTCACTATTTCACATTTGTTTCAATGAAGCTAAGGTTGTCAAGCTACACCGAGGCCAAACACTCACACTAACTACTGTGGCCTCAGCCTAACTTCCTGCGTTAACTAGCTCGATTGATTATTTGATGTGTAATAACACCACATTATTATATTTTCCAAAATAGGCTACCAGCCAACGTCGGGTAGCGATTGCAGACGTATAGTGAACAGATTGAACAGCCTCTGCTCCTCTGAGGAGGAAATGTGCTGCAGTCGTATCTGCTAACGTTAGCTCCATTAGCAAACTCCTGCTCCTTGGCTCAAATAGCTCATCCCTTTCACAGCTCTCTGTTCCACATTGAAACACATGAAATGGTGAGAGCTTGCGACGGTCTTGAACAAAGCCGCGTTGTGCAGTCTCTCAGGTTGACTTGGTATTCTCAGGGATCTAGAGCCATTCATAGAAACGAGTTCGAGGTGGTGCAGCTAAGTGGATCATTGGAGTGTGGGTGGTGAGACCAGGCCATGTTGGTACAGCTAGATTGTGTTTCCTTTAAAAATCTTTCAAGGACTCTGTGCTGTCTGCCGAGAACAGTTTGAAAAGAACACATTAAATATTAGGATACACACATCAGTCCTAACTAACATGCACTCATGAGCTAGTTACACTGTAAGGGGCCATTGATGCATAAAATGGAAAACCTTCAACAGGAATATACATTACAAAAATTGTAATACCGTACTTAACACCAATGAATATAGGGCAATTTATAGACAGCATTAAAAGTAGTCATTCAGTCACCATAGAGGAAAGGATAGAGAGTCAATTGTGAATGGTCTTAAATGTAAATTGACTGAAAAGAACACAATACAGTTTTTTTGATTTGGGGCAGCAATGTTAAGGACATTTTAGCCAAGGGCCATTCTTTTTTTGTTAATCTCTCAGGAATTATCCAGAGGAAGTTTTGTATCAGTCAATTTGATTTCATGGATCCAATTAATTATTCATAAATCAAAACCTTAGAGAGTAAAGCTAGAATTGAGGCTAATTGTAAATACAGTAACCATAGACCTGCACATTTGTGTCCCCCTTGTTACCATTCATTGCTGTGTGTATTTGCATTGTCAATAGATTACTGAATGAAACTCACTTTTTGTGACATGAACACAATTTATGCACCAAGCAAATTGTGTATTTGGTACAGAGGCTCTGCACAGATTTCTGATTTCAAGTCTCTAAATTGGCATATTTAAGAAACAGTTCCTGTGAGTCAGATTTGTCTTTTTGTGGAGAAACTGTTGAATCTGTTGTCTCAATTGCTTGGTAATTGGGGTCAGGTTTGTAGCCCGTGGACATGCTGTGTAGTGGATACTATTGGGTGTGAGGCTGCATGCAGGTTAGTGGGTGGAGTAAACTACTTTGCTTTCACTGCTCAGCTTGATGTGGTCAGATAGGAACCAGAACATTGCTGACGAGGACTCTATGGGATACCAGAGTTAGTGTCTTGATATCAGTGCCTAACAAATACTATTGTCATCACCGATATAGCGTCAATTATTTTCAAAATTAAACGAGGAATATTTGCCAGTATAGTTACCAGTGAATATAAACTAATATAATAACAAGAGATGTAATCAGTAATATGCATTCTATATAACCCACAATGCTCCATCTACAGTGTATAGTAGTTTTCAGAGAAGTTTTGGTATCCAAGGATTCCTAAAAAGTCTTTAAAGCCTTAAAAAACCCTGTAAGCATATGTTAAGACATCAGTGTGAGGAAAGGGATGCAGGGATAAAGTGCTCGGGTCAAAGATAAGTTTAAAGGCTTCCTAGTGGTATTTTATGTGTACTTTAAAATAAATAGTTTTTCATACCAAGCTATTTCATAACATATTTCCCAATTAAATGCATGGTTTGATTTTGAAGGACGCTATAGTAGAGAAATTCAAACTTTGGCAATAATTTGTCTAGAGAGTTTGTTGAAAGATATAAATATCATATATCCGTATCATTTGCTCTGCTGAGAGAATGATTGGCTGCAATGTGCCGTCCCACACATCCACGATTTGTTCGCCTCCAAGACCCTGATGGGGGCAAGAAAGATTGTATCTGACCCCTCCCATCTGGACATAGACTGTTTGAGTCCCTTCCCTCTGGCAGGAGGCTGCGGTCCATCAGGACCAAGACCTCACGCCATAAGAACATTTTCTTTCCTTCTGCAGTTAGGCTCATCAACAAAGCCCAGGACCCCCTCTGACTCTGACACCCCCAGGACAATTTCCTACCGTTACAAACCCTTGCACATCCTTTCTATATTATTATACACTTGCTACTTTAATAATAAACTTGTTTTAATGTACTGTTATTTGTTTACCATATTTTGTTGTAAATGTTAATATTTTTCTATTCTAAAATGATGTCTCATACTATTGCACTGAGTTTATTGTTATGCACCATTCACCAAGTCAAATTCCTTGTATGTGTAACATACTTGGCAATAAACAGGTCAGATTCTATCAGGCACAGGTGAAAGCATAACATTTGTATCAGCTTAACAACCAGCTTTGGTACAGTAAGTCCATTTTGACTAAAGACAACTAGCTCAAAACAAAGGCCTCTGCCTTTTAGATTGTGTTCTTGTTTTAGCTGAGGCCAAAGATAGTGTGTGGGAGTGATGTTGCCTCTTGCTTTGAGCAGGGCTAACCCATTCTCTTATATGGCCTATACAGTAGCATTGATTTTTGCTGTCAGTTGCTCAATCTGACAGAGGCCTCTGTGGGAGGGGAGAAAGCCAATGTTTGACCTGCTGCAGCGGATGTAATTACAGGAATCCGACTGACTTCAGTCAGGGCACAATGCTGTTTGTTTTTATGGAATCTGATTTTAGCAAGTCTTACAAACCTGTTTGCTAAATTCCGAGCAAACAAATTTCCTTATTTGTTAAACTTAGCTGAGCAGCGTTCCCACGTAATTAACGGATTCAAGTTCTCAGGTGTCAAGTCAGAGTTGACGCAGCTGCACATGAGGTGAAGTTTTTGTTGCACATAGCTCAGAAGTCTGCTTGAATCAATGTTTTCATACAATGGAATCGCCATTAGCCTTTATTTTAACATGCATTTAGCAACTGTTATTAGCTACAAATGTCCTGTGTGGTGCGCCTCTAGTAAAATCAGTTTGATGAATTCAGAACGTCAATATCTGAATAGACTGTAATAGTTGTTTGTAAGACCACAGTGGTACATTACATGCCGTATGCTGTAATTGTGGTATTCTGCAGAAATTCAGCGAACACAATAGAACCCCACCTAAAAGCATGGGTTCACATGGTCATGTTATTCCCCTTAATGACTTCAGAGGAGATGCTTTGACACACTGCACATTGTCTGCTATCTCAGACATTTCCTCCTCCTCACTGTGTCCTCCTCACTGTGTCCTCCATGCTATTATCACCAGTAAAGAAGTGGTCAAGAAACCCTTGGGCACTGAACTATTACTGTGAAGTTGAACAGCCTGAACTTGCCTCCATAAAAAGAAAATACAGATTCCCATTGACGGTCTGTTTTGTGATAAGAGGAGAGGCTGTCTGCCTCGACTCTTCTGACTCATGTAGATGCAATGAGGGGGTATCATATAACTCCTAAGAGATAACTTCTGGTTTCCTTTCAAAGCGAGTAACGGGAATAAATAAAAAAAGGGCGTCTCACAAAAGTTCAGCTCAAAACAGCTGAACAGTGCTGCGTCGCTCACGACCGGTTAGCACACGGTGCTATGGACATAACACACAAATATACATATTCTAATAGTTCAAACTCATGTGTTTTTAAAAAGAATGCATATTAGCATTTTTGGCCAATTGTGACAGCCCTAATGGACAAGCTGATGTTTGTGTCACTTGAGATACCCACAATCCAACAGTTCAAATCTGAAGGGCCAATGGATCTGTGTTGAGAATCAGCACAGAGACCAAAATTGTAAAGGGAGAGAACAGATGAAGAAGCTCGCAGTGACTGAAAGCAACAGGTGCACTAATGTACCCGAAACCGAGGACACGTTACCTGATAACACTTTAGATTCGAATTCGGTAAAGTATCAGATAAAATACAAACTACAAAATGTTGTTTGGTTACTGTAATAGAACTGTTATTCTTTCTTACCTTTTCATTATTGAGCTGTGACATATAACTGCATAGTATCTTAATTACTCCAAATATAAGGTGAATGAAAATAGCAACCGTATTTTCAGCAATTTGATTTATTCTGAACAAATTGTCCTGCAACAAAGTATTCTGAGGCTGAACAAAACCAACAGCAAAGCCATGATGTGAAGCTCAATAAGAGGTGAGGAATGCTTCACTTGTTACGGGGCAGCTGTGGCTCAGGGCTGGAGCGGCTCATCTGAATGTCCGTTAGTTTATATACCTGGTGGGCAGGTGGCACCTTGCATGGTAGCCTCTGTCATCAGTGTATGAATGTGTGTTTGAATGGGTGAATGATGACATGAAGTGTCAAGAAATTTTACTGGTCGGCAGACTAGTCCATTAACCGCTGACCATTGATCTCCTCTAAAGTTCATTTAGAAGGCAGCGAACAGGACCCAACCAATTGTAGATCAAATTCTTACTTTGAGTAGCAGTTAAGGATTCCATTTTTTCTGCAGCAATTACAGTATCAGTAATCGCCCTGCATTTATGTGTAATGTATATCCAGCACAAAAAGCTGCCGTTAAGAACCCGGCATGTGCGTGTAATACTGACGTAATGTATCTGACTTGTTGACTCAAATAAGATATGTTTTTAGAAATAATGGAAGTTGGGAAGTTATATTCGAGGTATAAAGCAAGAACATGCATGTCTCATCTTCTACCTGCATAGTTAGAGAGGTCAGAATAAATACAGATAAACACATGCATTGCTATTTACCAGCTGGTTATAGCATGGAGAGCAGGGAGAGGAAGACGAGGGTTTGAGCAGAGAAGGGATTCATTGGATGTAAAAGGAAAATGGAGTGCAGAGGAAAAGCGGGAGGAGAGAAGGAAGGAATGAGAGAAGCTAGGATGAGTGTTATTATTAGAAGAGGAAATCAGAAACACTAGAGACCATGTCCTGTCCTCCTGGTGGAAGATTGGCCTGGTTTTAGGGAGGTGAAATGCTGTCACTTGGGTTCTCTTATAGATTTTTAAATACATACCTTCATACTAAAATGCAAAATGTTTATTGAATGCAAGAAATATATTTAGTCAGGGAATCAGTTCACTCACAACTTGTTGACCTGCTCTCTGGTCCCCCCTAATATCCCTGAATTGCTTATTGCCTCCATGAAGTTTTAGCGCTTCTGCAATTTTAGTTGCTACACATTATCTGATGTAGACATATCTATTTCTACATAATCTGAGGTCAGCACTTACAGTAAAATGTGATATTGATACGAAGATCTGAGGCTTGCAGAATCAGTAACGTATTTTAAATCCCTTCTTGAAGCTGTTTAAAAGGTGCTGTATGGATAAGGTTTACCCTTATTATTAGGGCCCGAGCACCGACGTAGTCGGAGCGGAGGACCTATTGTTATTCGATTGTTTATTAGGGCCCTAGCACCGACGTAGTCGGAGCGGAGGACCTATTGTTATTCGATTGTTTATTATTATTAGGGCCCGAGCACCGACGTAGTCGGAGCGGAGGACCTATTGTTATTCGATTGTTTATTATTATTCTTATTCTTAGTGTTTCGTCGCAAAAAGGAGGTGCTTGGGATACTGGCAAAATGTCGAAATTTGGCACGCAAGCCAGAATTTGTGAAAATTGCCGTCTGATTGGGGTGTCCAGCTGCGGTATGAAATATTGGCTCGATAGCGCCCCCTATTGAGTAGCCCCAACATCGGGTTTCACCTAGCTGTATGAAATTTGGTAGGTATGTGGATCGTGATGGAACGTACAAAAAATCCTCTTGGAATTTTTCTCTAAACCAAACAGGAAGTCGGCCATTTTGACTTTTATGACGTTTTTTGACCATTTCAAGGCGTCATACTTTAACGAACTCCTCCTAGAGATTTAACCCGATTGACTTCAGATTTGGTGAGTATCTTCTTGAGACCTTGGCAGTGAAAAGTTACTCAAAGATCAAAAAGTTATCGAGCTATGTATCCGTGGCGTGGCTTCAAAAAAACACCATTCGCCGCGAAACAGGAAGTTGTTGTAACTCTGCTGTACATTGTCGAATCTGCTCCAAATCTCTCATATGTCATAACATCCTAACCCGGAACACATCTATATGATAATTTAGAATCATAGTAATAGCACCACCTAGTGGCAACTGGAAGTTGTAAGTTGTGTACTTTGACATCCTGCTCCTCACAGATTAATCAGATCCCTCTAAAATGTTGTCAGAACAGCCGTAAGACCTTGATAATGTGAAGATTGTAAGAAGTTGTCGAAGAGCGGCGACGTGGCGGCTCGGCGAATTTCGATCCTTCGCCATGAACGAATAAACTGATGTATCTCGACTCCACATCATCAGATCTTTACCAGATTTCACATGTTTGATTAGACTCCAGGCCTGAAGACATCTGCAGGCCAATTTTGAATCATAGTCATAGCGCCACCTACTGGTAACAGGAAGTTAAAGTCTTTATACTTTGGCTTTTGATGTTTCGTCGAATGCCGTTTCCGTGGCGATGCAGTCTTCGCCGTTAACAACGAAGGTCATTTTGAGAGGCTAAAAATGCTCGAAACATAAGCAAACTTGGCAAGGAGATTACAAGCCCGAAATGTAGTTACAGAATATGATTTTATTGGTTCAGAGTGGCAAATCGGCTCAATAGCGCCCCCTACAAAATTTCAACGAAGCAGCCCTTGCAGTATGTTTGACCTAGATGTATGAAATTTGGTAGGAACATGTATCACATATGGACTTAAATAAAAGTATCTTGGGGCCATGCTCTAAACCCAACCAGAAGTCAGCCATTTTGAATTTTTTATGAATTTCTAGTGTCGTTTTTGTCATTTCCAGGCCCTGGACTTTAACGAACTCCTCCTAGGGAATTAATCAGATCAACTTCAAATTTGGTCGGTACAGTCTAAAGACCTTTGTGATGAAAAGTTACTCAAAGCTTGTTGTTTTGTGAAAAGCTGTTGCCGTGGCGACGCATTCTTCACCATGAAAAATTAAGGTGTTTTTGAGAGTCTAGAAATGCTCGAAACATAAGCAAACTTGGCATACATATTTAAAGCCCAAAATGTAGTTATATAATATGATTTTATTGGTTCAGAGTGGCAAATCGGCTCAATCGCGCCCCCTACAAAATTTCAACGAAGCAGCCCTCGCTGTACGTTTCACATAGATTTACAAAATTTGGTAGGCACATGTATCACATGTGGACTTAAAATAAAGTCTCTTGGGACCATGCTCTAAACCCAACCGGAAGTCAGCCATTTTGAATTTTGTATGAATTTCTCGTGTTTTTTTTCCATTTCCAGGTGCTGTACTACGAACTCCTCCTAGGGAATTAATCTGATCACCTTAGAATTTGGTTAGAACAATCTAAAGACCTTAGCGATTAAAAGTTACTAAAAGCTTTAGGCTTCATCGAACGACGTGGATATGGTGTGATGGCCAATTTACATGGTTCGCCATCATCCATCAAGCTGTTGTAACTCGACTGTACTTTGTCAAAACTATCCCAAACTTGACATGCTTGTTGACTGTCATGGCTTTAGGACAGTTTTGACAAAGTACAGTCGAGTTACAACAGCTTGATGGATGATGGCGAACCATGTAAAATGGCCATCATCCATCAAGCTGTTGTAACTCGTCAAAACTGTCCCAAACTTGACATGCTTGTTGACTGTCATGGCTTTAGGACTTCTGCATGCCAATATTAACTCATAGCCATAGCGCCACCTACTGATAAGCATGGCCGTAAGCAGGATTCTATAATTACAGCGGCCCAAACACTGAATTTATTGAAAGGGTTTGTGGGCACACCATGAGAAAAAGACTTCTCTGATCTAAATATGTGCAAACTAAGATGCTTGGAGAGCAAACGTTAGATAACAGTGGATTTTCAAACCATGTCAGTGGGCATTAGTATAAATGATCTGTCCAGAGCTTCTTCATGACAATCAGGTTAAACGTTACAATGAATGCTTCACACTACAATCTAAAGTTACAGAAGAACTTAAAATGAAAACAGTGTTAAATTGAAGTGTTCAAGTAACAGCAAATGGCACTACTGTTCATGTAAGTCCAAATACAATCAGCAGGACACTGCAGGGAGTTGAACCCCATCCCAGTAAACTGACAGTCTGTTATGTTACAAACACGGAAGCACATTCACACACATTCATTTTCTTAATGATATTTAAAGGCTTACATTTATGATTGTATCGGAGGTACACTCAAAACATTTGAGGCTTAAGACCTGGCAACATGATCTTGCTACGCTGCTGGTCTACGCAGGAAATATCTTACTCGTGCATGCAGAGTGTGATGGTCACAGAAATTCATGGCCGCGTCACCCAGAGTCCTGCCAGTACCGGAAAATACTGTTTAACTTGTGCACGCAGTGTATGACGGTCACAGAAATGCATGGCCAGAGTCCTGCTAGTACCCTCGACATGCGTGAAGTTGCGAGGGCCCAATCAATGCTGCTCGCAGCTTTAATTACTATTAAAATGCATATGTCTGAAAGATGTTTCCTCAAGTACAATGGGATTCCTTTCTAAGGGGTTCTGCACAACACCAGAATATTTAGGTAATTTTTTCTCTAAAAGGATTTGTTATGGTGTCCTTTTAAATAGGCCCGTTTATGGGCTATACAAGCCATTTGTCATTTTACCTTTGAGCTGAAATACTTCAGAAAGCCCAACAATGATGGCTCTGTGTTGTCTCAAAGTACTAGGGGTGTCACGAAAACTGATACTTCGGTATCAAGTCAAATTTCTGAAAGCCTGAGGCTGGTACTGGTTCTTCTACAGTACGGCAGTACCGGCGTCAGGGTTTGAGTCATGGCGAACATCGCCCCGTCGTCCCGGGGACAATAGAACATTTCCCTGATAAGTCAACATTGTGAATAACAGATCTGTGTTGTAATCAGCAGAAGGAGAGACAATTAACGTTAGCTGTTAGCTATTAGCAGCCAATGAGCATCACAGTGTTGCTTGGCTAAATAACGGAGCTAACATACGGAGGTTGCATTGAGTTACATTATGATGCGTTCAAGCTCTTTTCAATATAAAATTGTACTGAGCAAAGGTAAATTATAACATTATCATGATGTTATGTGTTGAAATGCAACAGTAGATTGTATGTTGTTTTTTCACCGTGGTATTGAATTGGGTATCAATAATTTACCTGGTATTGGTATCGACTACAAAATGTCTGGTGTCGTGACGTACAAAGTACTGTGCTACACATTAAGTATTAAAATATAACATCATTTCATGTTTTTTCTGTCTTTCAGGTGGTACGTTGAAATTTCGGCACTTCCGTGTTCCAAACACCTGGGGGCCAAAGCTTCACCTGGTGTTCTGACAGTGGACAAGTACAGAGGTCCAGCATTTACACGATCACATGCTCTAAAGCCAACTAAGACTTATGGCAATAAATCACACGCCTAAAGTTTTTAGTTGTACCTAAATATCAGATGCAAGAAAGGGTAACCTCTGAAATATTTTTCTACCTCTGAGCACTTTCTGCTGTCAAAGTCTGTTCTGAGGTTGGGTGCATGGGTGTTGTGCTGACAGCAGGCTGTTGTCATGGTGGACTGGTTTGTCTGAGCCTGAAGCTAGCGTGGCTTCCCAGTTTCATATAGCATGTTAGCATATGGCTAGCCGCGTATGGTGACTGATCAGGCCATTATACTCTTCCCCTCCATCACCATCTCTGGCCCCCTTCAAGGGGGTATAAACTAGTTGGTAGTGGTGCCCCCTCACCCAGTCATCTTTTCATTTCTCTTTCATTTAGTCATCTATCCACCCCACCCCAAAATCATCAGCTTTTGCTTTCTTTCACTCTCATCAGCACTCATCACTTCTTGGTTTCTTGGTTCTAGCTCGTTCTAACTCAGCTCCAGTTCTTTTTGATAGCCACTTCTTTTCTTTGAATTCATCTCGCATCTGTCCCACTTCAGCTTAAGGCCCCCCCAGCTCAAGTTCAACTAAACCCTGCCCAGTTTAAGTTGCATTTTGGCCCAGCCTAGACCACCTTCACGTCTAACAGCAGAGCTGCTAGGCAATTGTTTTGGTAGTTGTTTTGGTTGCATGGAATCGGCTTAACCGTGGAGAGACCAGGCTACCACAAACTGATGGACTTTGACAAGCGAGGAGTAGGGGGAGGAGGAGGTGGAGGAGGAGGAGGTGGTGGAGGTGGAGGAGGGAAGGCAGAGACAGAGGAGGGGAAAAGGATGCCTGGGAAGACAGGGAGTCGATCAGGTGGCCGGGGGGCCAGCTCCAACTCCGGGGTTCTGATGGTCGGACCAAACTTCCGCGTCGGAAAGAAGATCGGCTGTGGGAACTTTGGAGAGCTGCGACTTGGAAAGAACCTGTATACCAATGAATACGTGGCTATCAAACTGGTAAAATAGTTTGTACCTAGTTTATAGTATTGTAGGGCAACACACTTAATATGTTTAATAGAGAGAAGAACAATTATTAATCCATATTTCAGAATACAATGATTCGCACTTGAAAGGGACAGAAAATTGTTTCATTCCATTATATTCTTAGAACTTAAAATTTGGGTTGGATTGCCCTGAAAAAAAGGTGTATTATGAATTGTATACTATGAATTGTGTGACAAAAGAATGATTCTCATTTAAACATTATCTTCTTTTATAGGAGCCTATCAAGTCGCGGGCGCCACAGCTCCACCTAGAATATCGCTTCTACAAACAGCTGGGAAGTTCAGGTGAGGAGGTTTTCTACTGTGAGAATCAGCATTTTGATTGAAAGCTTTGCCTATGAGCAAATTTTATAATGAAGTTGGCTGTCCGTAGATATTTTAAGTTATGTTTTTTAGCATAATTCTCAAAGAGTAGCGCCATTTTTGTCTCTTCATTTTCTGCTTATTATCCCCTGTTTTTGCCCAATTTGGAATCCCTGTTTCCCTATGCAATGCAGACTTTGGGAGGATGTCGGCAGCCATTTCCTATTTCACACTTTCTTTCCACTGTAACACGTGGGAGGTTCATGCTATCCCCCCTATTGTGCCGACACAAACCAATATGTGTTGTTCGTGCAGCAGCAAACTCAAGACCACTGGATGGGTTTCCAACCTGACAAATTAATTTCTTTGGAACTCCTGACCTAGCCAGAATAATTGCTACTTGATATTGAACCCTGGGTCTCTTGTGCACCAGAGAGTAGAATACAACAGCATGCAGAGCAGCAGCTTCAGTCCTCTGTGTGTGTCTCCACAGGAGGTGATCAGGCACAGTATTGAGGAGGACTAGGTATCAGAAAAATCGAATTGATGGCCACTGTTTACCCTATTTTTGTGCACCGCTGCAATAATTTTACCATATCATTAATATCTTCTGCTCTCATGTTTCACCGAGTGTGATGGAGCTTCACCTCACCTCACACACACACACACACACAGAGCGGAACAGAGGAGAGACGGGTAAAGTGAAGGCTGCCGGTACGTCTTACCACCTGTGTGGGGGCAAAATTGTTACAGCATAGTATCGCGATATTTAGCGTGGCAATGTTGTAGCGATACAGGATCTTTTGTTGTATAAACTACTAATATTGCAATTAGGGATTAACTGATCCACTGCACTTTTATAAGTCACGGTTTCATAACAATAGGAATTGAAGAAGTTACAATTACTATGATTTCCTGTTTCCTGCATTGAGATAGTTGCTTGTGTGTGTTGTGAAATCTCCTATTTGGCGAGTCACGTGTGTGTCCACCTGGACTCAGGAATGAACAGATTAGATGTTGAAGGTCAAAGGTCAAGGTCACTTTCTGTACCATTCTTGTAATATCTTGAGTGCCTCAGGCGAATTTCTTTAAAGCTGGTGCAAACCTCCACCTGGACTCAAGGATTAACTGAGTAGATTTTGGTATTGATCACTGTGACCTCACAAAACAAAAACAAAATGATTAAGTTATGATATTTTGGACATACATGGATGTAAACTGGAACTTGACAGGTTGGCCGGTGCATATAACCGTGAGGCAGTAATTCCAGTTTTATGGTGGAAGATGAATTTAGGAGTTTCGCAGCCTAAGAAAAGAAGCTGCTCTGTGGTTTGGTGGTACGGCAGCACATACATCTCTATTCCTTGCCAGATGGCAACAGGGGTCGAGGCAGCCATTAACTTTTAATATCTTTTGGACTCTGCGCAGGCACCTCCCCATACCGATATCATTGATCAATGTATGGCGTTTATACATAAATGTATTCTGACTTTCCTTTATCTGTTCATCCAGAGGGCGTACCACAGGTGTTTTACTTTGGACCATGTGGTAAATACAATGCTATGGTTCTGGAGCTACTGGGACCAAGCTTAGAAGATCTGTTCGACCTCTGTGACCGGACCTTCTCTCTAAAGACTGTACTTATGATAGCCATACAACTGGTAAACACATAACATTTTTTTATTATTCAAAATCTCAAAAACACTTTTAGTTTAGTGTTGGATTACTTGGCTCTGCATCTTCGCTCTGTCCTTTCCCTTAGATAACCCGTATGGAGTTTGTCCATACCAGAAGCCTGATCTATCGAGACGTGAAGCCTGAAAACTTCCTGGTGGGCCGACCTGGCTCCAAACGGCAACACACCATCCACATCATAGACTTTGGCTTGGCGAAAGAATACATAGACCCAGAGACCAAGAAACACATCCCATACAGAGAACACAAGAGTCTGACTGGAACTGCAAGATATATGAGCATCAATACACATCTGGGGAAAGGTGAGCTGCTCCGTCATGATGCATGTGCACACGTATACAACTCTTAACGCAATCACAGTAACATTAGCTTGTTCATTGATGCAACTTTAGCCGTGTTTGGCTTCTGCAGCAGCAGTGATCTACTGAAAGTAGTGTCACAAAGTTTGACCTAATTCATTTGCTTTTCAAGGCATTGTAGCCAACAGAGTGCAATGAGCGTCAATTCACCCATATGTATGTTCTTCTCTTTGTAAAATCCCGCCACCGACGACATGTTGATGCACGTCATGGCAAGTGGCAAGAAATTGGCACATGGCAAAGGCCAAAGAGAGAGAAAATGATAAGGGCTGCAACTAATTAGGGCCCGAGCAACCGACAACGTTGGGCCTGCGAAGGCCCTATTGAAACTGTAAGGGGTATTGTCATTATTAGGGCCCGAGCAACCGACAACGTCGGGCCTGCGAAGGCCCTATTGAAACTGTAAGGGGTATTGTTATTATTAGGGCCCGAGCAACCGACAACGTCGGGCCTGCGAAGGCCCCATTGAAACTGTAAGGATTATTAGGGCCCGAGCAACCGACAACGTCGGGCCTGCGAAGGCCCTATTGAAATTGTAAGGTTTATTATTTTTGGGGCCCGAGCAACCGACAACGTCGGCCCGCGAAGGCCCTATTGAAACTGTAAGGATTATTAGGGCCCGAGCAACCGACAACGTCGGGCCAGCGAAGGCCCTATTGAAATTGTAAGGGGTATTATTAGGGCCCGAGCAACCGACAACATCGGGCCTGCGAAGGCCCTATTGAAACTGTAGGGGTTATTATTATTATTCAGATATTTATTCAAGAACATTGAGCGCATATTGGGGATACTTGCCATACCCCAAAACTCGCCAGATTTTGGGGACTTGTCAGGCCTGGTGAAAATAGACGTATGAAAAAGGATGCATCTTTCTGCGTAACAAAATGGCTCTCTAGCGCCCCCTACAAGTCGGACCGGTGACGCCCCATGGCCAGTATGTCCGATTGACTTGAAATTCAACACACATGTCCGACTCCGCTAGATATACAAAAAAGCTTCTCAGACCCCTAAGCTCCGCCTCCTTAGATTTTCCGCCATTTTGAATTTAGTGTAAAACCCATTTCTGCAAACCCCTCCTACATGCTGGGTCCGATTGCTACCGAATTTGCTGTGAATCATTATTGGATCTATGTCATCAGGAGTTATCAAAAGCTTTTTGATATTTCTTTGCACTTTGAAGATATGGACCAATGAACTTTTTAGGGTGTGGCTTATATTTCAATACACATAACTTCTCAACCTTTTGTCCTACAATTACCAAATTTCCAGCATATGTGCACATCGCATCCTGTAATATACCCTGAGAAGTGTTTTGCATTCAACCACTAGGGGGCGCTACAGTAAACCCGCGAAGTTGTGCTTTTTGTCACTTTTTGCATTTTTCAGCCTTCGTTCTTTAACGAACTCCTCCTACAGATTTTAAGCCATCAACTTCTACTTTGGTCAGGATGCTCTTAAGACCTTTGTGATTAAAAGTTATTAAAATCGTGCGCTTTCATCGAAGAACCTTGCCGTGGCGTGGCGGCCATTTTGCCTCATTGTTTTTGAAAAAATAAGTTCTTATAAGTTGTTATCACTCCAAGGTACATTATCCAATCCGCACAAAACTTCTTATGCATGATGCTACTTCAAGCTTGAACATACGTCAATTGAAAAACATTCAACAACTCATAGCGCCGCCTACTGGCTAAAGAAAATGTCATATTTTGTACTTTTATTTATACCTCCTAGCCAGGTGACTTGATGAGTTTCAAATTTGGTAAGGATAGCCTTAAGACATTGATGATGCATGATCATGAATATTGTGCGCTTTCGTTCAACGCTGTTGCCGTGGCGACGCATCGTATCCATGAAAAAGGAAGCTGATGCTTTAGTGGGTTGGGATGGTCAAAAACTCATGGAACTTTGTACATGTGTCATAGGTCATAGGAAGACATAGTGTATATGAGTTTTTGGCTTGGCCGTTTTAAATTGCCTCTATAGCGCCCCCCACAATATTTCAAAAGAGCAGCCCCAGCGCTACGTTTCAGCTACATGTATGAAACGTCGTATGCAGATGTATCCTATGGAGACTTAACAATAAGTCTCTTGAGACCATGCTCTAAACCCTACCGGAAGTCGTCCATTTTGATTTATGTGTCATTTTTCCATCGATTTTGGCCTATTTCTAGTCGCTATACTTTAACGAACTCCTCCTAGGGACTTCATCAGATCCTGTTTAAATTTTGTCGGTAGAATCTCAAGACCGTTGTGATTAAAACTTATCAAAAGCTTTACGTTTGACGGAATCGTTTAGCCGTAGCGGGCGGCTGCTTTACGTGATTCCCCATGAAAAAAGCTGATGTAACTCAGCTGAACATGTTCCAAACAGTCTCAGACTTCACATGCTTGATAACACTCATGGCCTGAGGATGTCTACAAGCTAATTTCCCCTAATACTCACAGCGCCACTTGCTGGCGAAAGGAAATCTGAATTTTGTGATAAACACCTCCGATTTACATGACTTTTACACAATGTGGTTTACATTTGACACATGATGCATGTTTGCACACATTCTGTAGTGCCAGGCAGAGGATACAGGAAGCATCGGACTATTTGCAAAGCATCATTTCCAGCATCAGGCGGTCCACGCGGGATTAAATCCGTCTCACTCGCGGACGCGCCGTCAGGCGGTCGTGGACATTCTCGGCCGCACAGGCCGGAGTCCCGCCGGCACCCCCGACGCGCTGCAGATTGCGAGGGCCCGTTCATCGCTGCTCGCACCTTTAATTTATTGTTATTATTGTAGAGTAATATGTCAATTACTGTTTGATTAATCTATAAAATATTGGATAATTGTGAGAAACCCCCTCCATAATTGACCCTTTGCTAAATCCAGTCCCTTGATTGAAGACTGGCCATTCATAACGTAGCATCATCCAGCTCTGACCAGGGCCCAACATCTATCCCGCTTTGCTCCATAGACTCTCATCAGTGGTTTCAGATGTTCTTCATCTTCAGGCTGGTTTAGTGGATTTGGAGCTCATCATGGTTAAACGTGTGATAGTGATACTCGTTACTCGGAGAGGTTGGAAGGAGATATATATATAGCTAATATAAAGCTAATATTAGAAGAGTACATGAGAACATCATTAACAATCGTTAGCACTTCTATGGTACGCTAGCTACAGAAGCTACACATGCTGCTTTTGCTTTTTAATGATTGTAACAGTGTATAAAGAGGAAAAGTGTTGTTCTTTAACTTCATTGTCGTCTGTCTGGATCTCCAGGTGATGTGGTGGTTCACTTTTACACTGTGACATGTAGCTTTAGCTTCTATCTTTATCTTTTTAACATGTCTTCACTGCTGAATCAGTTAGACATCCTGGATATATCCTTCAAATATATTGTAGACCCTTCTGTCTGCTTCTCTCTGAAATCGCATGGATGATAATCATTCAGAGAGCAGTTAGTGACAGTGTGGTAGCTGGTGGTGGGGCTTAGCAAAGGGTCAAAAGGAGGTCAAAATTAAGACACAACCAAGCAGTAACCTCAAGGTCTGAAAAGTGAAGACAATGGAGAAGTGTCTGAAACTTGCATTTTTTCAAATGTCCATCAGGGGGCGACTCCTCTGGTTGTATAGAAGTCTATGAGAAAATGACTCTACTTCTCTCTTGATTTATTACCTCAGTAAACCTTGTAAACATGAATTTGTTGTTTCAAGTCTTCTTCAATACACCATGATTTTAATTTAGTCACAAACCAATGGGTGACGTCATGACGACTACGTCCACTTACATTCTATGGACACAACGTGCTCAACTCACTATTAGACCTCAAAGACTGGGTGCTGGATGTAGATATTAATAACAGGAAAGACTTTTTAATATTGTCTCACGGACGTGGATTCATACACGCTCAAGAAGGGCGTTTTGCCCAAAAAGTCGATTGAGAGTGGCGTTCTAGTCTCTCCTTTTTTTTTATCGTGGCTAAATAATTAGTTTTTCATTCACCGAGGTCAGTCAGTCATTTATTTAATATAAAGGAAAGCCGCAAATCTTCAAATTTAAGGGGCCGAAACCAGAAAATGTTTCACGTATTTGCTGAATAAATAGCTGAAAACATCAATGGATGGTCAAAATTGTAGGTTATTAATTTCTTGTATTAAAATAAAAGGGGGGAGTGTCAGAGCTCTCACGTTCTCATCCCACTTGAGTATGCAGGCCTGCTATGCACGTCCTTGGGCTTGACAGCAACTTTCAATCAATCATGTCGTGATTGAGAGTAATTGAAGCCTTTTGTTGTGCTTCTGTGTTTCAGAGCAAAGCAGGCGGGATGACCTGGAAGCTCTGGGCCACATGTTCATGTACTTCCTGCGAGGCAGCCTACCCTGGCAGGGACTCAAGGTGAGGAGGCCGTTGACCAACCGTCCAGTGTGTTAATCAGTTCAGCCATCTTTGTTTAATTTCTCTTTCATTACTGTTACGATTAAATGTCCCTTCCTTCACTAGGCTGACACTCTGAAAGAACGTTATCAGAAGATAGGAGACACGAAGAGAGACACACCCATAGAGGTCCTCTGTGAAAGCTTCCCAGGTTTGTACTCACGCACTCCTCCACAAAGAAAAAGTCTGCGTTTCTGCGCAAGTGTGATTTATGATCAGGTTAGCATATGTTGATCAAATCTTGTGTCTGTGTGTGAATGTGTGCGTGTGTGGGTTCGGTGCCTGTGCGTATGTAACAGAAGAGATGGCCACCTACCTGCGGTACGTGCGTCGGCTGGACTTCTTCGAGAAGCCAGATTACGACTATCTGAGGAAACTATTCACGGACCTCTTTGACAGAAACGGATACATCTTCGACTACCAGTACGACTGGACTGGAAAGCCACTGGTGAGTGTGGTCTGGGTTTAGGGCCAGGGTCAGTGTTGAGAGGTCAGTTCAAACATTGAAGCATAATCATTTGGACAGTGGTGGGCCGTCAGGGCCAGCTAAGCCTTCTCTGCTGGCCTAAACAGAATCACAAAGTTATAGCTATTTTATAATTTTATAATTTTTCACAAATACACAACATGTATGATAATTTTTTTTTCCCCATTAGCTTATTTTCTCATTGCACAGCTCCTGTGTTCCTCTGTTGCTCTGCTTCCAGCACAGCTTGTTTTAACGAGAGCTTTCATCCAATCAGATTCAGCCCCTATGTCTCTATGTAAGGAGAGAGGCCCGAGGTGCTCTAGGTAGACTTTGCAGATTAAAGTATATGGGGGCGATATTGTTGATTGTCATAGTCTTCAACCAATCAGATCTTTAGTTTGACATGTTGGGCGTATTCTTTGACGTGCAATTGGCACAGAGGTAGCGTGCTAAGTACGTCTGCATTAACGTACGGCTGGCTCTGCATTAACGTGCAGCGCAGCATTAACGTGCGCCGTGATTGGTCAGTGGGCCAGCATGACTTTTTTCAAACAGAATGCTAGCTAGCAGATCTTAGTATTTAGTAAGAGCTCAGGTTGAAACATATGTAAGAGAAGTTATGACATTTTTAGAGTTTTGCTTGGTGTAGATTCTTTTTTTTTTACCTAGGTGTGTTTTTTTAACACTCAATGGCTGAAAGAGGAGGAGAAATGGATTTTGCTGGCGGAGTTACTGACAAAGCCTTTCTCGAGGACATTTCAGGAAAAGCGGGAAATCATAACAAAGGGACGGCCAACCCCGCAGCTAGCAGCCTTGACCCAGCAAGTAAAAGGATTTGTGCGTCACTTTCAGTCCACCAACTACAAACGTTATGCCTGGCTGACAGCATCGGAAAAGAGTTGCAAATTGTATTGCTGTGAATGCCTTTTATTTGCGACTGAGCGTCTTGGTGTTTGGAGCCATTTTGGATTTGCTAACCTGGATCGCCTTACCAAGGCTTCAACAAGACACAAAAGAACGGCAGGACACTTGCAAGCTACGGTGCTCTTGAAAACGTTTGGAGAGACTCGCGTGGATCTACAGATCAATGAACAAGTTCGCAGGGAAACGGGGCTCCACAACGAAAAAGTTAAGAAAGAATAGGGAAATACTGAAAAGACTGATAGATTGTGTCATCTTTTTGGGTAAACAGGAGCTCTCATTCAGAGGACACGACGAACGTAAGGAGTCCACAAATAAGTGGAACTATGTCAAGCTACTTTCCTTTGTGGCACGACACAGACTTGCACTACCACCTTTCCACGGACAAAGTGTTCACCGGGACATCAGGCAAAATACAGAACGACCTGATCAGTGCGATAGCTGAAGTGATGGGAGAGGAGATCAGACGTGAGATAAATCAAGCGCCCTTCGTCGCTGTTATGGTGGACGAAGCGACTGACGTGAGTAATAGAGCGCAGCTGGCACTGATGGTCCGTTATGTGACATACCGGTGTCAAGGAAAGGTTTGTCAGATTTGACGACGTTACCGGCAACAAGAGAGCCGATGACATTGCTGATCTTCTCATCCGATTTCTGGAGGACCACGATTGTCTGGACAAAGTCGTGGCTCAGTGTTTTGATGGCGCAGCGGTCATGGCATCTGGACTTAATGGAGTGCAGGCTAAAGTTAAAAAGAAGGCTCCTCTGGCTTTATTTATACACTGCTATGCCCATCAGCTGAATTTAGTGCTGACTCAAGGGGTCTCGAAGCTGAGAGAATGTAAAATCTTTTTTTCACATCTCAACGGCCTCGCTGCGTATTTTTCCAGGTCCACAAAGCGCACGCAGCTGCTTGACGACATCTGCCAGCGGCATCTTCCTCGTGTGGCACCAACACGGTGGCAATATAGCTCCAGACTGGTCAACACGGTGTTTGAAAAGAGAGCTGCCCTGCAGGAGCTTTTTGAGCACATTCTGGAGCACCATGACGAGTACGACGAGGAATCTGTGCGCTGTGCTGACCACTACAAAGCCCATCTGGAGAACTTTGAGTTTTGTTTTTTGCTGTCCACTTTCCATGGGATTTTTAAGTATTCGATGTGCTGTTTGGAGTACTACAGAACAAAAAACTGGACATACATTTCTGTCTGAAAAGAGTGGATGAGTTTTGTGACACTATTGAGAGAGAAAAGGGATGGTTTGCTGACATTTTTTAGTCCACTGTGTGTGAAACAGGTGCCCCAAGCGCACGGAGAGGCCAAGCGCAGGGAAACATTTGTGCACGGTACCAGAAACTCCACAGCGATATCTTGGACAACATTCTTGCCCAGGTATGAAATCGGTTCAAAGACCACGACAAATGAATGTTTCTCTCCCTCCTCGACCCCCAGCAGTTTCAGACCATATCGGAAGAAATTCCCGGATTCGGCCTTCTCCAGCCTAACGCAGAGTCATGGAACTCTGTTTGATGATCTGACTCGGCTTAAAACAGAACTGACTGTAATGTATGCCATGACTGGCTTTGAAGGAAAAAGCCCTGCTGATCTACTGGCTTTCCTTCAGCAGAAAGATCTGGTGGAGAGCATGCGTCAAGTTTACGCACTGGCATATTTGGTGGTGACGATCCTGATATCGACTGCCTCTGTCGAGCGGACATTTTTAGCCCTAAAACGGATCAAAACCTATTCCAGAAACCATACTGGGGAGGCTCGGCTGTCATCACTGGCGTCTATGGCAATCGAGAAGGACCTCTTATTGGAACTAAAACGCAGGGATGTACTGTACAACCTCGTCATTGAACTGTTTGTAAACAAAGACAGGAGGATGGACTTTGTCTGTAAATAGTGAGAAGCATTTGGTAAGTAAACTGCTTTTGTGTTTTTACATTTGCAGTAGCGTTGTGTTAATTTGTCTATAGTGTTTTTATTATATAGTTAATATCGTTCCCTCTGATGTGAATAATATTTGAATGTCCCGTGCTCTTGAGTGTGCGGTGTTTTAGTGCCGGAGTTTTGATGGATTGTTTTGTCATGCTTTGTTGTAAATAAATGTGACTGGTTCTTGTGAGTTTGTTCTTGTCATTGTGTTAATTACATTGATTTTACTATATGCATTCTCCGTTAATGACGCAGCATCCCGTCATGCGCGTATTCATGTATCTGCACTCTGCAGTTGTAGGTGTTGAGCTTCATGTAACATTTTATTTCACTTGTCAAATATTGCAGTGTTATGTGAATATGAGGTGTTTACACGAAACAAACAATAACCCGTAGCTGTGGTGGTTCAACTGTAGTAAGACGGTACAGAAGGCCCAGGTAGAAAATGCACGGCCCGCCACTGCATTTGGAGGATCTACTGTGTAAAAAGGAACCGTTGAAGTAGTCAGGGGTTGCATCCCAAGTCTCTTATTTGATACTTCCTCGTACCTTGTTTGAACCGGAAGTCGTTCTGGTGTGTCATCTTGAAGGCCGTCTGTCTCACAGCTCTTCTTTCTGCTCTGAGGAGCAGCCTTTTTGTGACCGATACACCTCCTCACTGGATCAGTTATTGATTGGATGCTGCAGCTGCTATGATGGATCTGATGCATCTCAGCATCATACCAGATTCAACTCAAGTGTATCACTCCTAAATTTCATATTTTATTTGTTTTCTGATTCACCCTCTAGTTAAAAATCTGTGGTCTGAAAAACAAAAGGCCACAAACAACTTTTTTTCATTCATTAGAAAGATTTCTTTTCATGATCTTTTATTCAGTGTGGCTTTGTAGCACAAAGGCAGTAAAACTGCCTGTGCCAAAGCATACTGTATATTATCCATCGGGCTTCATAATAATAATAACTAGAAAATTCCTAAAGAAATTTTGACAGTGTGACTTCTACTGCCCGAAGAAATCGCAATATATACACACGCCAATGTTACCGGTAGTGTCATTCAGGTTCAATTGAGATAGTGCTACTCTCTTTTCTGCATTTTAGATTCATACTCTTGGATTGAATCTTGTATTTGTGGGGCTTTTATTTTGAAAGGGTGGGACTGGGTGGCTGAGAGAGGGGGAGAGGAGACAGAATCATAATGTTTGACACTAAAATGAGAGGCTTCATCACAAGCATTCCAGTTAGAATTCATTCTGTGGGGCTTTTAATTTGAAATGGGGGGAGGGGGGTGGTGAGAGGGGAAAAGTCCTCTAAAAATATCTGAGACCTGAATGACTGTATGATAGAGAGAGACAGGCAGAAAAATAGACAGAGAGGAGAGAGAGACAGAGTGAGTGAGACAGGCAGACAGACAGTTAGATGGATTGAGTGAGTGGGAGAGAGAGACAGGCAGACAGACAGAGAGCGAGAGCCTGCATGCGTGTGTGTAACTGGTTGCCATGGTGAGCCACGCACCTGGTGTTAGAGGCAGACTGATTAAGAAACGTTACAGTAAACAGGGATTTTGAACAAAACCCCTAACTCCTTTTAACAAATTAGTAGGAGTCTGAGTGCCAAAATATGGATACTGTGAGAAAGATAAGACTCTGGCAAACGCGGAGATGTGTTTTTTATGTTTGTGGTCTTAAAAATGTGAGCTCAAGCGCAATAGACAAAACTGGTACCGTCTGCTTTCTTTGAGAAATGAGTGATGAGATTTAACATGGAGTCTAATGGAGCAGTTGGTTGGAGTTCATGTCGCTCTGCGGCTCTTTGAGCCAAATGTGTAAGTCTGTTGGATTCCATAGACACTTTACTGCGACCAGCACAACATTTCCAACCTTTTTGGCCAAAATGGTGTATAAAGAGTAAAAATAGTGGGAGCTAGAGCAATTTGTTTGGAAAAATCACAGAAGATTTTCAAGCTCCGCTCCACTCTGACAGTTATGCTCTCACTCTAGCTCTTAACGAGCCATGCAATGCACACCCATTATAAAATCTGAAACGGACCCAAAATTTTCCTGAAACTTAATCTGTGACTTCATGAAAACTGTGCTAGCTATCAAAATGTCCCTTTGGCTCAATAAAGTGCAGCGTTTTGTCTATATTTTAAACTTTGAATCATGTTTCTATGTTAATGTACGGCTAGTCAATATGGGCCCAAATTTAAGTGTTTTTTTTAGCTCTCTTCACGCCGTAACCCCATTCAAGTGAATGGAGAAACTTTGCTCCATTTTTGGGGATTTTCGGGAATTTTCGGGAAAACCGCTAGGCGAATCTCTCCGAAAAATTGATTGCACGCTATTCCCGATCAGGCCGCACGTTTTGATATATTTTTCACGCCGCTGTTGTCAACGCTGTGTGAGGAGAAGCGCGCCAAACTTTTGGATAAACCTGATTATTATTATTATTATTAGTAGTAGTAGTAGTAGTATGATTAAGCCCGATGGATAATTGTTGGAATGCTGTTAAGCATTCTTTATTCTTCTTTTTATTATTATATTTCTTCCGTCCCACCTCTTCTGCTCCTTCATATTTTAAGCTACAGAAACCGTTCAACTATCAAAATGTTCAGCTCTTTAATGACATTTATGCTATGACTTTTCATATTTCTATCTCTTATGCTTTATGAATTATTAAGCTTTTTGCAATTTTTATTTTGAATGGGATTTCAATGGAGAAAATGTTCAAATCCTCTTAAACTTCTTCAAATTTCAAATCCTTCAACTTCCTCATATTTTCAGCTTCCGACACCATTTCAACTTTAAAATGTTGAGAAAACCCTGATCTATTGCCACATTATTCAGCATTTTTATATCTTTTACACTTTTTGAACTGCAGCAATTTAACTTTTATGATTTTTCAGCCCTTCTCTGACTTTATAATGGGTGTGTATTACGCAGCTTAGAGTGCGTGATGTCACTGCTAGAGTGAAGAGCAGCTTGAGATTCATGTGAAAAAAACATTTGTATTTTGCCACTGTGTCCACAATCTTCACTCTTCATGCATCATTTTTGATGGAGAAGTAGCTAATCTTGTCCTTGTCGTAGACAAATGACTGTGGAATCCCACAGATTTACACATCTGACACAGAAGCCTATAATTGAGAGGAAAACCAACTTTCTGCTCCATAGAGACCAATGTTAAATTTTGCTTCAAAAACATCTTCCACGGAACACGGTACCCATTTCTAGATCGCCAGTTCAGCCACATTTTTTACACTACAGACACAATTTTTACAGGATCTGTTCTTCAACTCATCCTTCCTCTCATTTAGTAATATCGGAGCAATAGGAGCTACGGTTATGGGAGTTTTGAGGATTTGTTTGAGAGGTGTTTCTCTGTTTTATCTCCATGAAAAGGCTGCAAGGACACAGGTGTTTCTGATTAAGCTAATTAGTGACGTTGATAAACACAGAGAGGCACTGGCACATGCACTCCTCCCCCTCTCTCTCTCTCTGTGTGTGTGTGTCTCTCTCTCTCTCTCTCTCTGTGTGTGTGTGTCTCTCATACAGTCATTCGGGTCTTGGAGACTTTTAGACGACCCCCCCCCCCCCCCCCCCCCCCC